CCCGGCCCCGGCTCCCGGGCCCGGCCCGGCTCCCGGCCCCGCGGGCCCGGCCCCGCAACCCTGGCTTCCGGACCGGTTCCCGGCCCCCGGCACCGCGCCCCTGGTTCCCGGCCCCCGGCACCGCGCCCCTGGTTCCCGGCCCCCGGCACCGCACCGCTGACCCCAGCCAAAGAGGCCCCGGCCGAGCACCACCGAGCCCTCCCTCCCTCCCGATTTTCCCGGACATGCCCGGCTTTTGGGGATTTCCCCCCGGACGGGGATTTGAGCCCCCAAAAGCCGGACATGTCTGGGAAAATCCAGACGTATGGTAACCCTAGGAGAGAGAGGCCTCCACTCTCCAGCGCTGTCGGACCTTTCCCTAGTGCTAAATTTATATTTAAAAGACAATTTTGAAACTGGAAGTTGGAGCCATAATTTTGTGAACTGTCTGGGATGAGATAAAGCAAATCTCTAGCTGTCACCTACTTGATCAGGTCCTAGGGGTAGGAAATGGCAGGAGGAGAGGAAGGTTTACCAAGTGTGCTAGCTGAAACAATTCGCTACAGGGAATATCTCTGTCCGCAGGGCTAAATCATGAGATTGAAAGAAAGTGTCAAGGCAGACCTGAGTCATGAGGGGGTGGAGTTCCCCTGGCACCAATTCATTCTTTCTCTCTCTGTATGTGTTTCTCTCTGTGTCTAGGCATTCCTGGAGCGTTACATCAATCCAGGCCCAACCCTCCAATATGACAGGGATCGCTGGTTCTCCAAGCAGTGGACGCTCGTCAGTGAAGAAGCAGTCACAAGTGCATTAAGGGATGGTGTCGTTTTTGTTCTCAAGTGCTTGGACTTCAGCCTTGTAATTAATGTGAAGAAAATCCCCTTCATCAAACTCTCGGAAGAGTTCATAGATCCCAAATCTCACAAATTTGTCCTTCGCTTGCAGTCTGAGACTTCGGTTTAGGGTGCGGGGCGGTGTTCTCTTCTTCTTCTGCTTTTGGGTTTTGTGTCCCCAATGCTGACTGAAACTGGCAGATGACAGACCAGTAATATTTGACCATCTGCACTTTATTTGGAAGGAGGGCCGGGGGTAATGGGTTGGGATATCTATCTAGAGAGTAATATCTTAAAAGCTCACAAGGCAACTTGGTTGAGTTAGCTCAGCCTTTAAGACAAAATGGTCCTCCTTGTTTTCCAGGCATATTGTAGACTGTGTGAACAAACACGGCCTTTATGTTTCCTTTGGAGCCCTGCCTTGCAGTGCTCAGTAGTGTGTGTACATCTCCCTTACTCAGGCCTGACCTGGTCTCTGCGTCCTGCACGTGTAGATTTCTATGGGGAAGCAGCTTTTTCTCATGTATAGAAGTCTGTGTATGAGGGAGAATTTGCAGTTCCCCTCTGCTTAGGAAGGAGAGCGTGGTGAGTGGGGAGAGAATTGATAGTTGTTTGTAAACCAGGCTGTCTTGTGGTTGAAGAGCCCTTCCCCCTCCAGGGCTGCTCTTCTCCAATAGCACTGGACCCCTGTGAACCAGGAGGTAGCAGGGGTGGGTTTTGCCATCTGTTTCCTTCAGTCTCTTCAGTTGCTTGTATTGCGGATCAGTGTACGGGCACTGCTCATTTTGCAGCTGTTTGAATTATTACCAGTTGTCTTAATGAGACGTCAGGGGATTTGTGCATGGTGCAACTCTCCCCCTCGGTCCCTTGATCTCTAATCCCTGCCCCACTAATTTGAATGTCCCATGCTCGCTCTCCTCTCTGCCCCTCTTGCAGCTTTCTGAATGTGTTTCTCTAGCAACAGCTCCTGGGGTCAGTTGTGTTATCACCTCCTCCCCACCCCCCTCTCACTATGTATTTGCACAGTTAAAGCCTGGCTGAGTAAACGTTCTCCTAGGAGGTGTGTGGAGTTTACCTAACCCTGACAGCCTGGTCCCAAACAAAGGGAGCATGCGCAGGAATGTGGGCATCATACTCTAGAAGGGCTTCAAGTGCATCTCGAAGGAAGGGGGAACACTTAACCCCTGTCCTCACAGGGCCCAGAGAGAGTGTGAGCAGGGGAAGGGCAGACCTTGACTGACACATGTGGTTGAGTGCCATAGTTCTTTAAGACAGTATATATAAATGCACTATAGTATGTTCATCCCACCCAACTCCGCTGTAGCTAAGGGAGACCAAACTGCGTCTGAATGTTGCAATTGCTTTTTAAAAAAAAATCTTGACCGTTTACCCCTGTGTGACTGTTCTCCTAGGTATTAGTCACCAAGCTAGCCTGGAATTTGTTTATTCTTGGGTGAGGGGCACTTAGCTCTCCAGAGAACTTACTTTTTAAGGCTTTTTTTCTGTCAGTGCAGCTCTGTTCTCAAGGTTTTTAAATAGGTTTGTTTTAAAGCTGGGCCTAAACAGAACCTCTGGATCTGAACCCTCTCCCTGCACTCTGAATTCAAGGAATGTTTGGGTCCAGGTCTCCACTCCAGAGCCAGCTCCTACTTCTCTCATGAGCTAAACCAAAACCCCAGGTCCAGATGACCTCCAGACTCTGGGCAAGTTCAGTTCCGGATCTGGCGGGGGATTTCCTGGCTTGGGACTATGTCTAACTTTATTTTGATTAAAAGGAAAGTCTGGGGGGAAGTCTCTTACAATGTGAATGTCTTTGTTTTGCTTGCCTGTCTTTGTTACAGACAGATGCTTAACACACTAAGGCAAGATACTTAAGCAGGTCCCATTGAAGTTTATGGGACCAGTTGTGTGTTCAAGCAACTTGCTGAACCAGGGCCTAAAGTGGTGATTTTCAAGCCATGGTCTATCTGTGGTCTGCCAGGCCCTTCCTGCTGGTCCTAGGTATCTCCTATGGTATTTATAAGGACCCTACCCACTTTGTATTTATGCACCAGGAACGATTACAAAGAAGCCAAATTGCACAGGTGGTTGGAGGGTGTGGAGGGAGATGGGTCTATGGGAGAATCTCGTCTCACTGCCGCATGAGACGTTTATAGATTTCCCCAGCCCTAAAGCACACCCAGTTCTTTCAGGCAGGCTTTCTGGCAGTCTTTGTTGGTTTTTAACAGTTATGGTCTTTGCTGTATATTAATTTTAAAAACGCTGTTGGTTTTGTACCCTTTTTTTAAACGAAAGTCACATAGTGTTGTGCATGATGCGTCATAAAAAATGAGTTTCTTTAACCTTTGGATAACAAATGCAACTGGAGAAGAGACTCCGTCGGGCTGTGGGGCAGGGACTGTGGGGGTAATTGGATAAAGCTGTGATCAGGGTTGAAATGGCTGTCTGAATTCAGGGACCCAACCCTGGTTCAGTTGGCTCAGATGTGTGAATTTAGAACAAAAGCACCCAGTATGAATTTCCTCCTTTCATGATTCCTGCTGTACCACCTCAGAACTGGAAGTTGTTTGACAGTCACTTTGCTCAGGAAACACGTCTTTCTGTTTTTAAATGCATGTAAGGATTTAACATAAAACCAAATAGAAGCCGAGTGTCTTCACAGCTGCTACATAACCTACTTGCTGCAGTTCAAAGTGCTATCATTTCTGTCTGTCACTGTTAGCATAAACCTCCTTTAAATGGAATGTCCTTAACTTTGTTACTGCTAATGCCTGAGAGGTCTAAACCCAAATGAGAGAGAGAAGGTCATTTACTCTTTACCGTTTACCTTTCTGCACTTTGCTGAGCTTGGAAGGAGAGGTTAGTGATTGGAGTGGGGCATTGGGCGCCAGGACTCCTGGGTTCTATTCCCTGCTTTGCCACGGGAATCACTGTGAGACCTTAGGAAAGTTACTTCACTTCTCTGGGCCTTCATCTCCCCATTTGCAAAAGCGGGGACCATGATATCATCTACCTCACAGGGATGTTGTGAGGCTAAACTTAACCTTTGTGAAGTGACTTGAGATTTGCTATCGAAGCGCAAACTGTCTTCTAATAAAGAATTGAACAGTGAAACTAGACCGGCCTATTTCACTTGCCGTTTATAGTCTGTTAGTGGATGAGAATCAGATGTGGGAGACAGCAAGGTAGTGTTAGCATTTCCAACCCAATCCCACAGTCCTTGCTTTACGCTCACGTCCATGGGAAGCACAGTGCAATGAAGGTTTGCTCTGAAGGGGGCTGTTTCACTCTGACCCTCCTCCCCTTTTCTCCTCTCTTTTATTGGAAAGCTCTTAAATGAATGGATACCTACTTTAAAGTGTTAAAGAACCCCAGCCTTTGACCATAAGCCAAGTGACCGAGGAAATTCCTATTGAACAATGTCAGATGAAGTCCATGTAAGGCTGAGCCTTTCCCTAAGGAGGTAGGTCTCCTGGTCGCTCAGGGGCAAGCCATCTCCTTGCTCCCTGCTATTTCCCCTACTCCCCACTATGTAGCTTGGACTGCCAAAGACACTATTTCACGTCTTTGCTCTCAGTCAGCAGCATGGTGCAAATCTTAAAGCCTGGAGGGGTCTAGCAGGGCACCTCCCAAGTAGATGCAAGCAAAGCTGCTGTGATCAGTTTAAGATCCATGGAGATAGTTGAGGTGACTTTTCTGTAGTAAAGTGGTATGTGGTGTTTGTAGAGTGGAGTGAATGGATAATGAAAATGTTAGGGTCCCTGGTCCCTTGTAGGAACGAAGGGGCAGATGCTTGTCTCCTGGTTCTTGCCAGTCCCATAACGAGGGCTGTAGCATGGGGAAAGGCAGTGTATGAACTGAGCAGCCCACCAGAAACACAGTTGAGGCGCTACTATTTTCTCACCACGGCATGGGGGTTCAGCATGCTGCCCCTCTGCTCTGCAGGGTGGGGAAGGAATGGAATTGGAATGGACCTAAAGCAAGGTGATTGGTGGTAGCGCTCCCACCCTACGTGGGGCAGAGTGGAGCAGATATGGTCCCCAACCAACCCTTGCTGCCAGGGAGCTAGGGTGACTGCTGCCTCCACCAAGTGCGCTCTATCAATAGCGGAAGAGGGTGATAGTGGAAGAATTGGTGGCTGCTGGTAATCTCACTCCCCTTGAGGGCAGGGATGCTTGAGAATAGAGGCAGCAAGCAGAGCGAAAGGATGACATGACACAACTCTTGCAGAGCAGGGTCTGAACTAGCATACGCCTGACAGCAGCCCCCGTTCCTCCATAGCAGAGGAATAACGCAAGTCATTAGTGTCTTTGGATGGGGACAGTGGTGATAAATGTAAACCAGCTTTCAGTACCTCTGCCCATGGCTACTCCTATCCTCTTCCGTCTCCCCCCCCCTCTGCTGGGCTCACTGCCTCTGATGACCCATTTGCCAAGAACACCCACTCTCCCTCCTCTGTTGCTCCAGCCTCCACTCCCATCTGCCTGTTCTCTGTTTCTCAGGCCAAAAGCCTGGTGAGGAACTAGTAGCAGCCGAGATGGATGTCATCAGGAGCACAGGCTGGAACTCATGATAAGGCAGGGCTCTTGGGTGGATCCCATCCTAATCCCAATCTTGCCTCCCAGCTACAGGAAACACTTCCATTCCCCCACCCCATCCCATCCCATCCCATCCCATCCCATCCCACCCCTCCCCTGCCACCATGGACTCCACCAAAAATCTTAGAAAATCACACCACTACCAGTTTCTTAAAAACTGGCAATTCCATTTAGCCCCGTGGACTGCTTTAAAGTCTTGTTGGCATAAATTTATTTAAACAGTAATGATAAAGAAGCCTGAAAGATCACAAATTTGTTTGTCCCACTTCACAGGAAGATTTATTCAAGTCAATTAAGCTAAAATAGCTATCACATTAAAAAAGCCTGCAAATCTGTCCTCCCCTCTTAAAAAATATAAATAAAACTGACTTTGGGTCTTTGGGGAGAACTGTATTCTGGCTCCAGACTTTATCTTCAAAATGTCCTTAAGTTTTCAGTCTGCCACGCAATCAACATTTAGACGAATAGGAAATGAATGTGCAGATATCTGTTGTTTTCACATTCAGCTTGTATTTGTACGTGCTGTCTCTTTGTAGGTGTGTGCATTATTCCTGTCTAATGCCTAAAGCCAGGGGTGGTTGTTCAGTAATGCCCATTAGGACTGTATGGAGAACGAAGCACTCTTGGGACTGAGTCATAAAATTACTTCTGTCGGGGGGCTGTGTGGCTGCAGGTGGGCAATGGGATGGATACACAGCTCCTTTCGCCTGCCGTTGGCTGGCTCCGACTCCATTAAAGATGATGACCAAAAGTTACCGTCTGACAGGTGGTCAGTAACCTGTGCAACTTCCGTGTTGATCTGTTTGGTTCCTCTTGGGCTAGGTCTCCACAGCACCATGACTGCCACGAGCATGGCCTCTCCGAGAAAGGGGCCAGTTAATAGAGACAGAATTTTCACCCCACATGGCAGGGCAGTGTGTAGGGGAAGCGTTGTGCCTCTGCCACCCATGCCTGTCCTGTGCATAGAGAGTACTGAATTCTCTAGGACTGTTGATCTGGCACCTTTCACCAGCACTAACTAATTCACTTGGGAGCCACATACACACGTGTGTTCATTTTGCTGTGGTTCGCTGCCTGCACGGAGATCTATCTGTGAAGGATTCTTACACTCCTCTGTGCCTGTATCTTGTAATGAATAAACGTTATTGTGTACTAGGGGCCAGGATCTCCTGGCTTCCACACAACTCTTCTGATCACTGTGTAATGTACAGCCTGCTACTTTTTTCTACACAAACTGCATATAGTACGGTGGGTTCTGCTGAGGTTTTCTAATGAATAGACACTAACCAGCCTCTTGCTGCACATGTGGCTTTAACTGCAGTGATATGTGGTCTGAACTAAATTCTGAAATCTGTTTTTGTTTCCCCTCCCCCGCCAGTTGTGAACTTGAGTAGCAAACTCCTGGTGTCTGTGATGTTCATGCACTGTGTGTCTAGCAGAGTGAATTGTTCTGTTCCAAGCTGGGTTCTCTTAAGTTATAGCTTGATGGTTTTGTTTTTGAACTGAAACATGAAACCATTTTACACTTTGCATATTTTGTACAGTAAAATTCTGAAAATAAACGGAAACCAGAAATTCTGTGCTCCTACGTAGTCTTCCTTTGATTATTTCAGCCTGGGAAACATCTTCCCCCCCCTCTCTGAGCGTTCTTTACACCTCGAGAGTGGTACCCTGTAAACAAGTGCCATAGCCTTTTCAGGCTAAACCTCCAATCACCCTCATTGCCCGATTCTAGGCCTCTTCCATCTGTCTTGCCACAACAGGGGGCGTGCTCATTTATCACTCTTGAACAATGAGACCTGTAGGAGGCTGTGCTGAATGCCTTAAATCTCAGATTTGTGGGAGGAAATGCAGGAGGAGGGTCTGGAGCTAATTGGCAGTGGGGGAAAGGAGTTAGAATTCAGTAAGTAAAACTACCTGCTCCCTTTTATTTACTTTGAGCTCACGCCACCCTGCACACAACCAAATCATGAAGTACCAGAGCTGTTCCTCAAACTCGCTGGGACTCCTGATTGGAGTCTCACCTCCACAAGAGTCCGAGGGGGCTGGGGAAGCAGCAGTTCTTTGGGGTGGTGCCTTTGGTGTCTACAAACTTCAGGCCGTGTTATAGTCAAACAGACAAACCAACATAGCTCTCAGGCACTTTATCATCAATAAAGCAAAAAGGCATTGTTACCACCACTCTGGTTACATGACTCAGCTAACAGAGACTCAGCTCTCGTCTGTTGCCAGAATCAAGGTGGGGAACAGCCTTCCAGCATGTCTGGTCACCAGCTCGACTTGTACAATTTTGTTGCAGATTGTAGGAACAAGAGTGTGGAGTGATTCCATGGGCACTGCAAACGGTGGTGCCGATGCGCTAGGCCTCCCAGCTTCATCCCCACGAGCTGTGCCCCCACCACAGGCCAAGCATTTACCAGGCTGCCGTCAGCACTGCTGTAGAAACGGTTGGAAAAATCCACAGGATGCTGCTGTGCTATGAAAAATACAATGCAACAGTTGCAGAGATAAGAGCAGTTAGTGGATAAACATTAGTGCAGAGAGCCTCAGAAGGGGATTTCTCCTCCTGGGATTACCAAACAAGGTTACAAAGCATTAATCTCAAACCAGTAGGAAACAGGAAGGGTGGTGGGGAAGCACTTGGCACTGCTCAACACCACTCCCCCTCTCCACCCCCCCCCCCCAGCTTCCTGATCCTTTCCCCTTTGATTGGTGTATCACTCTGGGAGTTGTTTGCGGTGCCATTTGTGGTGCCCAGCGCTGGGAGTTGCCTAAGGATCAGTCCCTGATGATCTGAAAGAAATAGTAGAGGGACTGCAGTGAAAAATAAATTACAGGCACAAATGAGAGCAAGCTACTCTATCCCTCCAATAAATAATAAACCTCAGATTTACCTGGTGGTGCTCTAGTCACTGCTGGCCACTCCTTGTGCCCTGAGAGGAACTGCTGGACTGGATCAAGCCCAGTGTCCATCTACTATCCTGTCTCTGGTAGTTGCTAGCAGCAGGTGCTTGAGGAAGGGGTGAGATCCCCACAGCAGGCTGAGGTGGGGTAATCTACCCCTCATGTTACCCACTGATCATGATGGAGTCCCTAGTCATGCCCTCTGGCCCTGCTCCCCACCCTCCTGGCTCAAGGAGCAGAGGTGGTGGAAGGCACTGGGCTCTGCCTGGCTGAATCCTGTGTCTGAATCATAAGGGGAAGCCATGAGTTCATTGGAAATATGGGGCTGAGGCTACAGCTCCAGTTCACCCAAACTCCCATCAAAGTCACGAGGGTTTAGCTTTGAGGGTGTGCCCTACGCACAGGATCCAGCCCCACGACTGGTAACTTATAAAGCTCTGCCAGGCTTGTTTATCACCATTTTGTGGAGTTTAAAGTGCCTTACCTCGCAGCTGGAGCTGCCGGCTGGGATTGCTTCAGGAGCACGGACCTCTGGCTGCCCTTGTCCATGGTGCCCTCAGCATGCAGGGAGGAGAGTTTCAGGGGCTGTCCTTGGGCAGGGCGGAGCCAGCTGTTGGAATAGTTTCTTGACTCTGAATGAGACCAGTTGGTCCACTGATGCATTGGGACTAGACCCAAAATCCATGGCTGGTCAGAAAGCGGCGACTCTGGAGAGCTGTGCGGGGAAGTGTGGGGTGGGGGGTCCCATCACTCACTGGGGGAAAAGCTGCGTGTGGGCAGGGTCCACCGATTTTACATGAGCTGGGTGTACAGCATGGGTGCTCTGAAGCACTGCAGGGAGTGATGGCGCCAGGGCCGGCTCCAGGCACCAGCTTAACAAGCAGGTGCTTGGGGTGGCCAATGGAGAGGGGCGGTACCTGTGGCAATTCGGGGGCGGCAGGTCCCTCACTCCCTCTACGAGAGAAGGACCTGCCGCTGAACTGCCGCCTCCAATCGCGGCTTTTTTTTTTCCCAATTGCTGCCGCCGATTGCGATCGCGGCTTTTTTTGCTTGGGGCGGCAGAAATGCTGGAGCCGGCCCTGGATGGTGCTAGCAAACATGGCTGCTGCATGTCCCTCTGTCCTAGGGTCTGAAATTAATGGCTTGTCATTTTCAGCTGGCAAAACACCTTGTGTAGGCTGGGTAGAGGGGTAAGGTTTCAAGGCCACAGAACCAACCTTCCGGCTTATGTCACTGGCCTTTATTGCTGGCATTGAGCTACCCTGGCACTCGCTCCAGAATCCGAACCAACAGTGAGGTTTCTCTGAGGGGTGGGAAGAGTCTAAGCTTGGGGCCGGTCACAAGCATGTGTGCTGAGTATTTGGGCCCTGAAGCACTGGAAGGGGTGGGGTACCTTGGGGAATAGGATCCCTCTGCAGCAGGTTATGTCACATTGGGTATGAAGGAAGGGCAGACCTGTTGTTGGGATTGGCCAGCAGAGCGTGGTGTTGAAAGATTGATCTGAGTTTATCTTGGACTAGGAAGGCACTGGGCTTGGGTTACAGCCCTTTCTGGTACTGACAGATAAGCCAACGGGGGTGTGTGTCTTGCCTCTTGTCATGTGTGCACACACGCACACACACACACCCCTTTGTCTGCTACACAGGTGCACACATGTGTGCACAGCATGTTCGTGGGAGGGGGAGGATGGTGTGATACTGTGTGTGTGTGCGAGAGAGAGAATCCTGCTTGTGCATATTCTCTCTCTATCAGCAGGGCCATCCCTAGGGGGGTGCAGGACCCAGGACAAATCAGCCTCCCCGCTAGTCTCGTCCCTGTCCGCCCAGATCGCCCTCCCACCTGCCTGCTGCTCACCTCCTCACCCGCCTGCCTGCTGCTCGCCTCCCTGCTAGTCTCCTCGCTGTCTGCCCAGAGCACCCACCCCTCTGCCTGCCGCCTCCTCCTCCCCGTCTGTCCGGTGGATCCCTTCCCCGTCCACCCATCTGCTGCTCTCCTTCTCGGCGCCTGCCCGCCTGCCTCCTCACGCCCCTCCTCACCTGAATATTGGGGGGAAATGGTGTCTCGATCGAACATCGGTTGGGACAAAGGGCTAAATATCAGGACAGTTCCGATTTTATCAAAGTGCGCCCCCCACCCCCACCCCCAAAGCATGGGGCCTGAGGCAGTTGCCCCAATTTGCCCCATCCAAGGGATGGCACTGATTATCAGTTACTTTTACAGAGGAACCAATGTCTGTTTCAGGTCCCATGCCCCATACCTAACTCATAGAGCCCTGATTCATGTATACCTGTTGGCCTGCAGTAGTAGATTATCAATAATGCTGAGGTGCTGCCCTAGAATGGTAGGAAGGGGCGTTTGTCCAGGTTTCCCGGCTTTCTGAGGCCTGGTCTACACTACGGGTTTAGGTCGACTTTAGCAGCGTTAAACCGAATTAA